TCATGATTGTTTCGACGAACTATTGGTGGGTTGGCTTGACCAATGGTCCCACTATTGTTCCCTTCTTCTGACTGCCCCTCATTCAGCTCAGGTTGTTCAACTGGTATTGAGGGTTCACTCCTATTGTTCATCAACAACTGTCTCATTTCCTCCTTTTGTTCAGCCATCATGGCTTGAATCATGGTTCGCACTCTAGCCATTGTGATTGGTTCAGGTGTTGCTGCTACCATAGCCACTCGCTCAACCACAGGTGGTTGATTCCTGTTTTCGTTCACGTTTCCAGCTCCACTCCTGGTTCTTGTCATTTTGATCTATACACCGAATAAGGTGAAATTAGATCCTTATTCACGATAGATATTCAAATCATCCTTATCACTCCGAAACGTTTACATGCTAGTTCTAATATCGTAGATGTATGCTTAGAATCCTACACACATAAGGTTTCCAGATCCGGTCGGCAACAGACCATAGATCCGAACAAATAATATCATATATGGCAACATATAACATTTAGCACATAAAAGCATTTTAGGCATCACTCCTAAAATAAACTAGTGCTTGTGTCAATTTAGGTGTACTACCTAACATATTTTAGACACACTCCTCCCAATCATTACTTATCATTCTAAGTTTAAGTCTAGAAATTTCCTACAAATTCCTAGTTCGCTTAAACTAATGCTCTGATACCAACTGTGACATCCCCAATTTCACGACCAGAAAAGACCGATTTGTTTATGCTTTGTTTTATAAAAATCAGAGTAAATCCTTTTGATTTAAAAGAGTTGCGGAATTTGTTCCCAAAACAAAATATGATAAAATTTATCAAGACGTTTCTCAAAGAGAACGTATTTTCATTAAATAATAAAACATCGGGATGTCATGTTCCGATACAGACCAAAAGCATAAACAATATAAAATAGACCTTACAACAGTTATTTATAACTACTGATCTATAATCCAAATTATCTCGTCAAGACCACCAACTTATACCCTTGTTCCATTACCTGTAATGCAAAGAAAACTGAGTGGGTCAGGCTTGGGAGCCTGGTGAGCATATAGGGTTTTCAACCCACAATAATACATTTATTATATTCAATTATCAAACAATCAATCCAATTACCCACCCCCTATTATCTCCATTTATTTCTTAAAGATTTATCCTAAGAACCGACTATCCTTCATTCATTTATTCCTAAGGAATTGGCACGAAATCCATTGCTGCCAAAGTTTATTTATCAAGTACAAAATCCATAGTTATCAGGCGCTAACTCTATAGTCACCAAGGTTCACTTAACAAGCGCTAACTCCATAGTCGCCAAGGTTTACTCAACAAGTGCTAACTCCATAGTCGCCAAGGTTTACTCAACGTGCGCTAACTCCATAGTCGCCAAGGTTCATCAAATAGGCACGAAGTCACATCGTTGCCAAGGTTTATACAATAGGTGCTAACCCCATAGTCACCAACTATCCCATCTACCCAAGTTCTACTCAACATTTTTGTAGATATAAATACTTACACAGCTTAAATTATTTAACACTTGTATAAAACGTCAATTCCACGTCCATCTCAAATAGACAAATAATATATAAACACATAGCACGTATTTCATAGCAAATACTTCATATTTATGTGTTAGAAGAAAGTAACCACACACTCACTTGACCAGAAGATGATCGGACAACACTACAGCTTGTAGAAGTAGTATTCTTCGGTGAAACCGGGATCACTTCACACACCGGGTTTCTCGCGGGCTGAGCTTTGGCTCGGAAACTCTTTTCTTCTCGGGATCTTCGGTGCTTCGGGACTTGATTCGGGTCTCGGGATTGATATCGGGGCTTCGGGGGGTTAAAATAGGGCTTAGAGGGTGTATCGGGAGTGGGAGAGAAGGGATGGAGCAACCATAGTCGGATGGCCCTTCAAATCTATTTATAGGGCAAATTTGGCCCTTGCCACATCGTGGGCTTGATCGTCACTGCATGCGTCATCCCAAGTTGCATCTGGGGGACTCCCGGAGCTTTCAGGAGACTTGCCACGTCGTGGTCTCTGACAGTTTTGGGGTTTCGCGCCCCGAACTTCAGATATTCATAACTTTCGCATACGAACTCCGTTTTCGACGTTCTTTATATCGACGCGAAGGTGAGATTATGATCTATAACTCTCGTTTAGACTCCATTGGCTAATTTTGAATTTATTTTTAATATATTATAAGAATAGTACTTATATATTATCTATAGTAGGTCGGGACAGGAAAACTCCGTTCAAAATTCATAACTCCTTCATCTGAACTCTGTTTTCGCCTGTCTTTTTATCGTTGGACTACTATCGAAGAAATATTTGACTCTCATTTAGATCACTAAGGATAGATATCTATCTACCTTAAATTCACTATTTACGTCGCGCTGGGTCACGCTAGGTCGTGTCGGTTCTGTCGCGAAACTTCGACAGGTCATAACTTCTGTGTTATAACTCGGATTTTGGCGTTCTTTATATGCACGGAAACCTTGTGACATATACTACAACTTGGTTAAGATTAATACTTCTAAATAATCTTCCATCAAAAAGTCATTTTTGATGCTTATCGTCTCTAAGTTGACTAGCCCGGATCTACGGGCATTACAGTTGCCTTCACCAAAGCAACTTGATAGGATGAATTATGGAGAGAAATGATTAATTATGATTTATTAATATATTATGAGAATAATATATTAAAGGAGAAATCATATTGTTTAATTAATATTAGTCGATAATTAATTAGGAATTAATTTTGTGGCTAAAAGACATTAATTAAACTTAAGGGACTATAACTGTCAATTGTATAATAGTTAAATATTGAGCTAATGGACTCCATATTAGAGGGGTGAACGAATTCTATGGGGAAACCCATTAGAAATCATCCTAGGCCTTTAAGGAAGGAGTCAATGGGTTGCTTAGGGCCTAAGCATCCAAATTAGGGTTTCCTTGTTAGATAACCTTAATAGCCTCGCTATTTAAAGATCCCTAGAGCACCAAAAATGTGTGGAAGTAACTATTTAGAGTTTTGGATGGTTTTGGGCAGCCTCCTCTCTCCTTATTCTTCATCTTCTTGCTCTTGGTGTTTGTGAGCCATTAGAGGAGTGACAATTGTGACTCTAAGCTTTCTAAAGTAATTGTAAGGAGGAATTGAGATTGTTATTGCTACATAACAATCAAAGGTAATTCTCTAAGTCCTAATTTCAGTTTATAATATGTTAGATCTAAGATTGTAAGTCTTGGATACATTGCATGTACAATAGAGAAACCTAGATCTAAGCATTAGGGTTTGTATGAGCACATATGATTGTTCTTATGTCTAAAACCCATTAGTATCTAGTCCGAGGACTGATCTGGTCGGGTGGTAAGCCATACATAAAGTGTGGGCCCAAGGGCAGGCCAGACTTATGTTGTGGGCTCAGGGGTAATCCAAACTTTTAGTTGTTGACCCATTGCATGTTGTTATTATATTTGTGTTGGTATTTTGGGGGAACTCGCTAAGTTTTGGGCTTACAGTTTTGGGTTATGCTTTAGGTACCTCAGATGACCGCAAAAATGCAAAGGCATGATCGTCTACCTCCTCCTGTTTTGATTTATGACTCTGGGAAAACTCTAATATTAAACATGTATTGAAAACTAAATTATAAATAATGATGATGATGTGTGAGATGATTTTAAAAGTTTAATTTTTTCATGAATTTTATGTATGTTACGCTGTTTTAAAAACTATTACATGCAAAGTGACCAAACATGAGAAGTCATGCATGGAAAATCAACACGTGTTCATACCATTCACGTTTGATACGTTTGATTTTCTTACGCCAAATGCGGTGGAACTTATTCATAGAATACAATGGATCGTACATAGCAACGTTATAATACCTAAATCTATAAACGTAGTCTTCAAAAAAATAGTTTTATTATACAAAAAATTTAACGACGTAGTTTGTTGTCCGTTTGTCTTTTGTGAACATTAAAAAATAACTGCTTTTGTATTTATATTTCGGGATTTGATGTTCAAAAAAAGAAATAACCAAATAACTGATAAATTCCTAAAGGGAAGTGATTCGTACACAACAGTTTTTTGCCATACACAGCAATTCATGCATTATATAGTTGTACAATACAATATTTTAACGCACCAATTGTTGTGTACGAAGAAAAAATGTTGTGTACGGCTCAGCTCCAACTCTAAAAATAAAAACCATCAAAAAGAAAATAATTTTTATATAAATATTAAATATGCAACAAAACCGAATCATAAAAACCGTTGGAGTTAACCCATAAAAACCATTGCATAATTTACGCGTAATTTTATGAATACGAATATGTTTTTAAGAAATAATTTGATTTTGGCACATCTAGAAACTGAAACTATAATTGCACGGTCGTTCCGAGCCTCTGAACATACAAATACAAATTCAATGCATCTATCTTTCTTTTTGACTGCAATATTATTTAAAAAGGTAAAGGGCAGGTGCATAGGTGCATGCATCTTTTTCGGTCCAACTGCACATTTTTATTACCAGTCTAAATCAATTAGACACTTTCCCTTACCTTTTCTGAAATTAGATTTAATTATTAATATTTTAAGTTGGTAAACCTATAAATCAAAATGATTCATGTAAAGATAATGTATCACATGGGCTCATCCATAACCGACTCATACAATACAACATAAAAAAAGACCAAAAAGAACAAAAAAAAAAATATAAATTAAATCACAAGCCAAAGCCACAAGGTGATATTTGTTGATTTATTTGGTAAAGTCGTATAGATTATTTATACGAGACATAAATAGAAACTTATTATGAATTTGTTTTTCGATAGATAGATATATATATACATATATGTTAAAAGCTTATCAAACATGTAAAAAATAAGCCGTTGAAGTCTGAATATTATAATATAAGTCGTCGTTTATTTCTTTTTGAAGGAAGCGATAAGACTATAAGTCTATGAGAGTTTGAAAGCATTATTTAGAATTTCCATGGAGGGAGGGAGTAGAGTATTTATGGATTCGTGTGGGGGACTTTCCGTATATAGGAAGTGATGAACCGTATTTCCTCCCCCAATTTTGCTATCTAGAAACCTCTTGTAACACAGAATGGATCAACATCTTTCTCAAGTAAATGTACTCTTTTAGTCCACAGGAATCTCTGCTGTTTTTCCTCTCAAGGTAATATTTCTTATTCTTTGATCCGGTATATGATCTTTAGAAAGTAATCGACGCCGTTTTTCTCTGAGATCGATCTAAATGTTAAGATTTTCAGATTTTTTTTTTTTTTTTTTTTAAAGTTAGATTCGATTTTATCAACTTCCAGTTTCATAATAACCAAATCGGAGATAAATAATCCGAAGTTTATATAGTTAAATCAACCATTCCACTGTGGAATTGAACTTACTTGGGAAATGGTGCAACTATGTGTGTGGATCTCGTGAGCAAACTCGAATTCTTCTCTATCCATAGCGATCCCTGATTTATCGATATCTTGATGGAAGGAATCTTTGTTAATTGCGATTGATTGTGTGTTTTATATTTCAGCTTTTGTGAAGCTGTCAAAACCAGGATCAATGATGATGGATTCCTGTGATTGCTTCGAGACGCAATGGCCTGCTGACGAGCTTTTGGTCAAGTATCAGTACATATCTGATTTCTTCATAGCCTTCGCCTACTTCTCCATTCCATTAGAACTCATATATTTCGTTCAGAAATCAGCATTCTTCCCGTATAGATGGGTCCTTATGCAGTTCGGTGCTTTCATTGTTCTATGTGGAGCGACTCATTTCATAAATCTCTGGACATTTTCGTCCCACTCCAAAACCGTTGCTATCGTAATGACTGTAGCCAAACTCTCTACAGCTTTTGTGTCATGTGTCACTGCTTTGATGCTTGTTCACATTATCCCCGATCTACTGAGTGTAAAAACAAGAGAATTGTTCTTAAAGCAAAGAGCTGAAGATCTGGATCGCGAAATGGGATTAATCATTAAGCAAGAAGAAACCGGAAGACACGTTAGAATGCTAACACATGAAATCAGAAGCACACTCGATAGGCACACCATATTGAAAACTACTCTGATTGAGCTTGGTAGGAATTTGGATCTTGAAGAATGTGTTCTCTGGATGCCATCAAGAAAAGGCATGATCCTTCAGCTTTCTCACTCTTTACACAATCTAATACCATTGGCTTCCACAGTTCCAATTAATCTCCCGATAATCACAGAAGTGTTCAATAGCGCTGAAGCCATAAGAATCCCTCATAACTGTCCATTAGCACGAATCAGAACCCCTGTTGGAAGTTACATCCCACCTGAAGTGGTTGCTGTTCGTGTCCCTCTCTTACACCTCTCTAATTTTGAAATCGACAACTGGCCTGATCACTCTGCAAAAAGCTACGCTGTCATGGTTTTGATTCTTCCTTTAAATGGTGTAAGAAAATGGCGTGACCATGAACTTGAACTTGTAACCGTGGTTGCTGATCAAGTCGCTGTGGCTCTTTCTCATGCCTCCATTCTAGAAGAATCCATGCGGGCCCGTGGTCAGCTCATGGATCAAAACTTTGCTTTGAAAGTGGCTCGACAAGAAGCTGAGATGGCAATCCATGCACGTAATGATTTCCTTGCTGTGATGAATCATGAGATGAGAACACCAATGCATGCAATCATAGCATTATCTTCGCTTTTATTAGAAACCGAGCTTACACCTGATCAAAGGGCAATGATAGAGACGATTCTCAAGAGTAGCAATCTTCTAGCAACACTGGTAAATGACGTTCTTGACCTTTCTAGGTTGGAAGATGGGAGCCTAGAGCTTGAAAGTGAAGTGTTTAATCTTCATGGTTTGTTGAGAGAGGTTGTGAGGTTGATAAATCCAATTGCGTCTGTGAAAAACACATCCATGACATTGAATTGTGATGTTGATTTACCTAATTTTGGTGTTGGTGATGAGAAAAGACTTATGCAGATCATCTTAAATGTTGTTGGGAATGCAGTTAAGTTTACAAAAGGAGGTCATGTCTCGATTCAAGCCTCTGTTTTGAATCCAGAGTATTTACAAGAATGGCAAACTCCTGAATTCTGCCCTACTTTCACCCAGGGTCTCTTCTACCTTCTTGTACAGGTCACTCTCACTCATTATTTTCATTAATTAAAAATACTATTTTGCCCTTGATTTTTTAAATAAGCTGAGGTAGATATGGTAAGATAATGTGAGGTGGAAATGGGGTTGGGGGTGTGTTTATTTAAATAAATTAAAAAATCAAGGGCAAAATAGTCTTTCTATGTAAGATAGGGACCAAACACGCAACAAAAACAAACAGTAGGGACCTTCCAAGTTAAAAAGATAAATTAGGGACCAAACGCACAACAAAAACACTTACAGTTTGTTTTTGTTGTGCGTTTGGTCCCTGTCTTACATAAAAATACTATGTTGCTCTTGATTTTTTAATTTTTTTTAAATAAGGTGAGGTAGATATGGTAATGTAATGTGAGGTGGAAATGGGGTTGGGGTGTGTTTATTGAAAAGAATTAAAAAATCAAGGGCAAAATAGTCTTTCTATGTAAGATAGGGACCAAACACGCAACAAAAACAAACAGTAGGGACCTTCCAAGTTAAAAAGATAAGCTAGGGACCAAACGTGCAAATTACCCCAAACCATAGGGACCATTCGTGTAATTTACTCTTTTATATGTATATATATTTGTAAATGCAGGTGAAGGATTCTGGGAGTGGAATTAAACAACAAGACATTCCACACGTTTTTACAAAATTTTCAGAGCCTCGAAGCGCGTCCAACCGAAGCGGTGGTGGTGCGGGTCTTGGACTTGCAATCTGCAAAAGGTAACAAATTGTGTGTGTGTGTGTGTGTGTTTGAAATTTCCGAAAATGCCCTTGTGACTGAGTGGGAGGTGATTGTCAGGTTTGTGGATATGATGGGAGGTCATATATGGATAGAGAGTGGAGGGTTAGGGAAGGGTACAACGGTGGCGTTTCTAGTGAAAGTGGGTGAGTGCAATTACCAAAATGACCTTTCGATTGTCCGACCTAAAGCAAGAGCAAGACCCCATCAAGGGAGTGGTGAACTCATTAAACATAGAGGAGATGAATCCTACAGAGGAGGGACTGCTTCTTTCCATGCACACGATCATAACAGTTTCTAGCTTAAAAAAAAAAAAAAAAAAACTATTTTTGTATTGCATGATATTAATAGCCAAAAAATGAATGGTAACCCCAGATCTAAATTACCATCCATCTTGTAGTTGTGAGTTGATTTATACAAGGCATTAGGAGTGGAGTCTTTTTTTTTTTTTTTTTTTCTGTCATAATCCAATATTGCAACTTAACAAGTGCAGTAGAGAATGGTATCTTGAGTACATGATGCTCATCAATGGGTTAACAAGTTATATGAAGAAATGTCCAACATTGCAACTTAAGAAGTGCAAGGAGATGATATTTTTTTAAATGTTTTTATTAGATGAAAATTTAATAGAAACGATACATTACATTTTTTTGGAAAAATAAAAAAGATCGATCAAGAAGACAATTGAGTCCATCTTTTAGGTACAAGCGGATGACAATCACTAAAATTTAGGGAAGGTGTCGCTTGATTTTTAATTTGTTGTGATTTAAATGAAAAACGTAATTGGTGGTTTGTCCTTCATAAGTACCGATGGCAATTGGTCCAATAAGGTTGGTCTGTTAAAGTTTTAAACAATTTAAACCAACTAATTTAATTAAACGCCTCAACCCAGTCCTTTTGTTATACAAATGTGAAATGGGTTAATATAATATCGTGTCATATTAACTTGAACCAAGTTTGAAATGTAAACAAAACAAAAAGAACAAACTCAAATAACCATTAAAATTAATAATAATATTAAAAAAACTACAAATACAAATCAACTTCACATAGGATTTTGTAACTTGTAAGCAACTCACATAAACATTAGGGTTCATGAGTTGGTGGGGAAAAAAATTAAATTAGATTGTGTGGTGTCACCCTAATACTATTGTCGGTATGTTTATGTGGAAACTATTAGACCAGAAGGAGTGGGTGCAGTCTGGACCGTACTCCCCTTGCCACATAAGTACAAACACCGCCCCCTAGGTGCGGTAGAGTGCACTGCACCCTTCCAAGGGAGCACTCCTTCAAATAACCTTCCAGTAATGTGATTGGTTCATTTTTCTTTTCTTCCTCTGATTGATCTTTTTTATTTATTAAAAAATAATAAAAAAAATACCTAAGTGTGGCACCACTCTTTGGGTGTGGTATGAAACCACAGTTTTGTGGTAACGCGTGATGTGGTGCTTACATGTCACTGCGGTTTCATGAGGGAGTGCGGCGTCATTCCCTCCAGCCTTACTGGTAGCCTCTTGATCAATATTTTTGCAGGAATGCTGAAAGTTTACTTATTCTTTCTATAATTATTGGGTCTTTTTCCTTTTGCTTTTCTTTTGTAGACTCTAACCGACAAATGTTTTTAATCCAAGTTTAACACCCTACTTTCTTTCTTTCTAATTAGCTTTTAAAGCAATCGCAATCTAGTCATTAGAGATATTTTTTAATTTCAAATGATAATGTTAAACCGTAAAAAAAATTACGCTGGTAATTAAACCAAATAAATTTCAAAATATCAATGATTAATATGAAATTCAAAGTTTTAGATAAAAGTTTCTTTAAAAAATAATATAAACGTTTTAATGATTTCATTTAAATTTTTTAATGAAAACTTAGGTTTTATATTTCTATCCTCTACTTCTAGAAAATGTCATGTATATTATTATAGTTAATAAGACAAAAATGGAATTTTGTATATTTTAACCATGCAATGTATAAAACAAAAGGTAAATTATATATTTATCTTTAAATGTCATGACAACTATTTATCCAAAGTTTTTAAATTAATTGTTATCGTAAATTAAAAATTGAAGACTTTGGATTTCTATTAATTAATATTCAAAAGAAAAAAAAAAACATAATAATTAAAATGTGACAAAAATATAAAAACTTACATGGTATATATATGGCATGCTTCTTTCAAAGACAAAAACTTTATGACACCTTTTAAACTTAGTCATTCAGCTTTAGACTTAGGGGCTGTTTGGCAGGATCTGAATTTTTAAGATCTGAATTTTTAAAAGATCTGAATTTCTAAGAGGGTCTGAATTTTTAAGATCTGAACTTTTAAAATGTTGTTTGGTTGGAACCTCTGAATTGCTATGCTAAATTATCAAAATGACCATTTTACCCTTTTGTATTATTTTTTGCTGAATAATTAAAAAAATATATAACACCATATAAAATCAAAATTAATATAAATTAAAATTTATCTTCAATGATTTATAATATCTTTTTGACATATATTTACAAAAATAACATCATTTTTTACATCCCAAAGATTTCAAAGTTAAAAAACAAAATATTTGACATTAAATGTTGAGATATAAATGACAACAAACTTGCAACCGAACAATTGATGATCGATTTGTACTCCTTGTCCATCATTACATCAAACACGATAGCCCCTCAATTTTTTCTTTCAAACATTTCAACCTACAAATCCAAATTCAATAAGGAAACAAATAAACACTTTAAACATATATATAGAAACTGCATATCAAATCCATCACCAACTATGACATCATACTTAAAAAAAATTCTTATTAGGAATTTACTTCTATTGGTGAAAATGAAATGACATTGCTATAATTGGGTAAGTGTTGAGAGCAAGTAAAATGTTGTAATAGGAAAATGAGAGTAATAAACAAGTCAAGGAAATGAGACCTTGTTTATATAAAATTTGCCTGTATGTATGGTGTTACAAGAGTGCGGTTGCACACAAACAAACAACATAAGGGTGATTTGTGTAATTTTCTTCCATTTTCATGTTATGGTTCTAAAGTTTTCCATTTCTCACCATATTTATTTGTATATACAACATTATTTGTTTATTATAGCATTCTTCTTTTTCTTCTTATACTTTGAAAAATCTCTTATTTGAATACGAGAACCTTTACTTTGCACTTTCACTGCCATAAACGTCTGGTTAAAAATTTCCAAGTGCATTGCTATATTCGCTAGGTTTTCAACAGTACTATTGGACTATGTTCTTGCATATACCATTTGTTTTGGATTCATTTTTATAAGGGTTAAATATAAGTAATAATAACCTACTTCTAAAGGGGTTGTTTTATTTCTGTGATTAGCCATACGAAAAAGGGAATAAATGACACAGAGACCAAAAAGGAGAAAGAAATCCATGTTGATTTTACTATCTTTGAAAACATCTTGTCAAGAATTGTGAAATGATGAAAAGTGAAAAATCAATGGAGATGATAAAGAGATACAAACATCACACAGACAAATATATAGATACATAAATCAACTTCAGTCAGGACCTAAAGTTGTGGTTATTAGAACGATGCTCTAATACTCGAATTTTAGGGGAAACAACTCTGATACTCAATTTTCAATCATTAAACTCGAATTACATAGCAAGAGAAAGCTAAAACTTTACTTGAAGAAGATGTCGAGGGCGAAGCAGCACGACCCGGAGGAGAAGGCGACATAAGCGATGCAGTCAAAGGCGGCGTAGAATCCGACGATGGAGGTGGCGTTGCAGATCTAACGGAGGCAAACGGATGATGTCAGAGAGTTGTAATCGTGCGATTGGAGATGTAGGGGAAGGAGGGGTCGGCTGTTGTGAAAGAACGAGAAGAGGGAAAGCGGCTACCAGGGCAAAAAAAGGAACGCGCATTCTTTTTTCTAATTGAGATACATCTCAAGATCTGAAAATTTAAGAGACATTTTAAAAATTAAGAGCTATAAATTAAGATGTTACCAAACAGTCTGGATCTTAAAAATTAAGTGATTGCCTCTTAATTTTTCAATTAAGAGGCCACCAAACAAGGCCTTAG